AGATATCGCATAAAAAGGTAGCTCTCAGGCAGGAAAACAATGAATTTATCTGATAAGGTTATTCTATTTTATTGAAATTGTACCCCAAACAGGAGCAATTTCTGATGTGTTCTTTGCAAATAATCAATTAGCTCACATATCAAGTATGTGAGGGTGCTTTCGGCAAAATATTGCAAAACTTTGACTCAAACTTGGGTGTACAAGATGCAATTCATTGTCTCACATTAACTGGAAGCTCAAAGGTAGAGACATGTGACTTAGCAGCTCAGTGACATTATCAAGTACACGTTGCCCTGTCTCTACTCTGCTGTCCTTTGTCACCTTCATTCCAAGGCTGACTCCCCTCACTGTCGTCATGATTTACTGTAGAGTCTAAACTTAGAAGTGGTAGCTAATCCATGGAAGCTTCCTTTCTTATTCCTTAGCTATACCCCAGGGAGATCCTAGCACTCTCTAGTCACTAGAGAGTCCGGTCCAGTTTTAAAGTTCATGATGATGCCTAATGCAATGCTCTTCCTCTCACAACTCAGGCTTGATCTGTAGCCCAAGGAGCCCACCATGAGAGGATGAGAATCCTATAGCTTGGTGTCCCCTCTTCTGGGTCTCCCTTCTGCCTCCATGGAGTTAGGAGGAAGGACAGGCAAAAGGAGGAAACACCTTCTCCTTGACTGCTGCAGCCATTGTCCTCTCATTGGTACTTGTGGGGGAATCTCCAGGTGTGTGGCATGTGGCCCTCATTGTACACATATCTGGTGCCAGACACAGCACTGGTCTGGCCACCTTCAACCCCTCTCAGCATCCACCCACAGCCTCCTCCCAGTCCAGTCAGGGGCCAGCTTTCAAGCTGAGTTTCTGTGGTGTCTCCTTGACATTGAGAAAACCACCCATTCTCACCATGCCAACATGGTGGGTATGCAGGATGCCCTCTCTGTTCACTCTGCCATCTCTCTTCAATTCCCTTCTCACACCTCCAAATTCACAGAGGGCAGACCAGCAAGTTCATCCCTGAAACAGATAACCAACCGAGAAAAAGCAGCCAGGCTTCCATTTTTCCACCAAGCAGGTGTCTCAGGACCTAGACAACTCTCCTTAAATTTCTTTTGTTTTCTCTATCAATAACCTGGGTTTGCATGGAGGACAGAGGTAAGGGTTGAGGAGATGGTCCCACCCTCCTCAAACCATCTCAAACTTTTGGCTAACCCAGAGTGTCTCAGCCTTAACACTACAGTTATTTTGGACCAGATAATTCTTTGTTGTGAGGGCTGTCCTGTGCATGAGAGGGTATTTAGCAGCATTCCTGGCCTTTACCCAGTAGATGCCTGGAGCATCCCCCCTTCTTTTTTTTTAAAGACGGAGTTTTACCATGTTGGTCAGGTTGGTCTCGAACTCCTGATCTCAGGTGATCCACCTGCCTCGGCCTCCCAAAGTGCTGGGATTACAGGTGTGAGCCACCACACCCGGCCATCCCCCACTTCTTGACAATTATGACCAAAACTTCACAGGCCTAACCCCAAGAATACCCTCTGTTCTCCTAAAACCTAGGTTTTGAGATGCAAAATTCAGGAAGAAATTCAAAAGTTATCTGCTTTCCTTTGAGGCAATGAAAACCTCGTCTCTCCCCATCCCACTGAGGTAATGCATGGGAATGAGAGGGGCCAGGCAAAGGGAGAAGTTAGATGCACAGGAAATATGGTTAATATAGCAAAAGCATCATTCCATGTGTTCTGTTTTTTCACCTGTTGCCTTAGAATGTATACCATGTGTTTATTCTAGTAACTCTTTTGTGTGTGTATTACATTGACTGCAATGAGTACACATATAAAAAGAAATCTGAGGGAGGCAGAAAGAGTTCATCGCTAAGTTCTGATCGATATATCTGATAAAAGAATTATTCTTAGCTGGGTTCGGTGGCTGAGGTAGGTGGATCGCCTGAGGTCAGGAGTTCAGGACCAGCCTGGCCAACATAGGGAAACCATGTTTCTACTAAAAATACAAAAAATTAGCTGGGTCTGGTAGCAGGAGCCTGTAATCCCAGCTACTAGGGAGGCTGAGGCAGGAGAATTGCTTGAACCCAAAGCTGAGGCAGGAGAATTGCTTGAACCCAGGAGGTGAACGTTGCAGTGAGCTGAGATGGTGCCATTGCACTCCAGCCTGAGCAACAAGAGTGAAACTCTGTCTTAAAAAGATAAATATATATTTTTAAGTTCCAAAGTTAGAGGGGAAGTTCAATACTGAGAAACACAGTTCCAGGAATGTGTGTTGGGCTTGAAGAATATATATATACACACAGAGAGACATATATTATTGAAGAATATATATATATATATGATTTTTAAAATTATTTATTTATTTATTTATTTTGAGAACGGGGTCTTGCTATATTGCCCAGGCAGGTCTCGAACTCCTGGGCTCAAGCTATCCTCCCACCTCTGCCTCCCAAAGAGCTGGGATTACAGGCGTGAGCCACAGTGCCCGGCAAGATATTATATATATATATGTATTCTTCAAGCCCAACACACATGCGTGGAACTGTGTTTCTCAGTATTGAACTTCCCACCTAACTTTGGAACTTACACTCCTAGTGAATTAAAGGGAGGCTTGGGTGTTTGAAGACAGAGATGGATCAAAGGCCTTACATTTGATGCCTTTAACTCTGCCGGAGTCATTCCAAGGAAATCAGTAAGAGCCAGCAATAACCCCACTGAAAACAAATCTTTCATCACTCATACATGACAGAAACTGTGCCCCTGCTCCAGGTGCTGTATCTCATTCATTCATTTCAATTTTGCAGTAAGAAGCTCCCGAATCCCCAGGACACAAAGTGCTGTAGAGGCTCATGTAAAACAATGCTGGAGATCACAGTTTCATTTCCATACAGGTTTCCAGACCTTTATTCTACTGATCAACTAACTGATACCTTTGGCACAAATAGGGAAAAACATGGGTTGAAACTGAGGCTAAGAAAAAGGGGGCTGTTTTATCTTCTGAAACCTCGTGTATGGAGAATCTAAGCTCATTTCCATTTATTTTATATGCCTTGCACAAAAAGGCTTTTGATGCTGCCCTGGGCATTGGTACTCATTTCAATGCCTATTTTATTCACAGATTCCCAGGTTATTTACCATAACTAATTTCTCTTTTGGTTACAGCACTCTAATGTGGCACATTAGTTGGGATATAAATCTGTTAGATATTTAGAACTATTTGGGGATAGTGTATCCCCAAATGCTACGGTGTTATCGACATTGTTTGTTGAGACGTTGTTAGACTACACTCTGAAAGCATTAACCCTTCCCCTCCACCAAAATTCCACCTGTAATAAGTTTTTTTTCCTTGTGCATCTTTGATCCAAACTGTAGCAGCAGTGGCATGTGTGCAGCGCCACCTCATCTCTGGGGCAGGTCCGTCCAGAGCCCAGCAGTACCCAGCTGGGATGCAGCAGTGGCTTTTCTCCTTGGATGAATCAGACCGCTGCTCGAACTCCAGAAGTTCATTTAGCCCACTAACTGACTAACTTGCAGCTTCTTTGCTATGGAGGGACCACTTTGAATTTGTGTATCTGTCCTTAGATACGCTATGTACTCTTCTCTGCTCTTACTTCGATACGGTCATTGAGTGCATTCATATTCAGGTATGGCCTACAGGTTTGTGGCCAAGGTGAACCTTCATTTAACATCCTGTTTTTTTCAAGTGAGAATTGTCTGGAGTAAGAAATACTCTGGCTTACACAGTTATTTTTTCTTCAGGGAGTCTAATTGTCCCTTGGCATTATGTATTACCCCAAAGTATCGTCATTAGGAATATTAATTACTGTTAGAATAACTAGTGAAAAGACCTATAGCTTTCTAAGAATATTCCACAGAAGCTGCTAGGCACTTTATTTTTTATGTAATGTGACAGCACTAACACTGACATAGTTGTACTCTGTGCCAGGCACTGTGTTGAACAGACCATCTCATTTAATCCTAACAGGTGCTCCATGCCTCACTTGGGCTCCTTGAAAACAGACGTTGAGATGAGGGCTTTGTGCAGGTAGTATATTTGGGAGGTGATCCCTGAGGGCATGAATGAGGGATGCAGAAAGTGAGTCAGAGAATGAGAAAGTAGAGTCAATATAAGGATGGATTATTTAAGCACCATGGTGGGCCACAGGGACTTAACTCTGTGTCATGACCTCTTGAGAACTGGACAGAGGCCTCCCACAATTGTCCAGCAGGACAGGAAGCAGGGGTATTTATCCAACAGTTCCCATGCCCCACAGGCCAAGGTTTATTCCCAGACACAGAGAACTCTGCTTGCAGGGAAGTGAGTAGATGCTGCCAGCAACAGCCCACTGTTGACACAGCTATAGTCGTAGGGGAAATATGTGAATGGGGCAACAGAGGCTTCTGACACTATTATTATCCTGCCATTTTACAGAGAGGAAACTGAGGTACATGGGGGTGATTCATCCTCCCAAGGTCATAGGCTGGTCAGTGGTGGGGCCAGGATTTGAACATAGGCAATCTGACCTCAAAGCTCATGGCCCTAACCACTGTGCTCCCGACCTCCCACAGAAGGGATGATGACCGCTGCACTCCAGGCTTCCCTTGTATAGCTCCACCTAGGGATTTGGGTGTCCATCACCAATTCAATCTGGAACTCATCCTGGTGATATCTCTTCGAATGTTGCATTTCCTCCTTATGGAATTTATTTTCTTTTAGTTGCAACGACACAAGAAACTGCTACTGAAATGCCGTGTCTGCATTCATGAGAAAACAAATAAATAAATATATCATCTGAGACCATGTAGGAAGAGATAGGTTCCAACAATATACCACTCGAGGGAGAGGAAAAGGGGAGAAAATATAGCTCATACAACTTTTCTTGAGTTCAGAAACTGCTTTTCAATTTTTTATTAAAATGTTATTCTTCAAAGAGTATAGAAATACACCTGGCAATGACCTGTTAGAAGTCAGCCATCTGCTTCAAACATACATAAGAAACATACCCAACCAGATTCTGCCTCAACAAAATTTATTAAGGTATACATGTACAATATGTTATCAGAACAACACCAAAAGTGGCTACAGTTGACAGATTCTCCTAAAGTGGACACTATTTTCCTACAGATTATTATTCCCTTGATACAAGTTGTAATGACTGAAAATTTTGAAAGATAAGCTTGAAGGGGCCACAGCGTTGACTATCAGAGCAAGGAGCTATAGACGCCATGCACACAGGGCCCAGGAGGCAGCGGAGCCGCAGGAAGGCGTGGCAGACCCGTTTCTGCTGTGAGCAAACAGTGCTGTGAGGAGACCAACACAAAGAGGAAATGGTTCTTCTCCAGGGGAAGGGTCTTTGGGTTCACATTAAGGAAACACAAGACACCACACCCAAGAGAAGAAAGGAAAACAAAACTCCCTACAGAGTCTGGGCTCCCTCCGAGAGACGAGAGATAGGGCCAGTGCGGTCAAAAGAGGGGACTTGTTGAGATGTGGAAGTTTGCTGGTGAGGTTACCCACTTCCCTTCAAGCTTGCTCAAGGCACCAGACTAGCTCCCCTAAGTGCCAAGAGCAAGAATAAAACACCCTAGAGAGAAGAGCAGAGCTGGCACTTGGTTCGTCCTTACTAAGAGTGAAGTGTTATCTGTGGTTCTAATTCAAGCTGGTGAAATCCACCCCAGGGGGGTCCCAAATTGCTTGTGAGGCTGATCAGCTTAGGACACTGCCCTCCCTCTTTTACCCACTCTGGCTCCTACTAAGACAGGGAAGGAGAAAGTGAAGAGCTCATCTGGGCCAGATGTTGCCTTGGCACTCTACAATAATTATTTCTCCCTGCTCTGTTCCTCCTCTGTGTCCAAAATTAAGAGAGAACCACAGTTGTACAAACAGACTGAAAAGGAGACTGGCCACACCTGAGTTCTAGAGTCTTCCTCGGAATGAAACCATCTTTGTCAGATTCTTCCCAACCTCTTGGGCAGAATCACCTTTCCAAACCAGGCCTTTTCAGTTTGATGTTTCCAAAGGACTCAGCTTACACTAACTCCATCTTAAAAATACCTTTTAATTCCAAAAGTTTGCATAAGATGATTTTTTTCAATATACTTGACTCATACTCATTGTTACATAGCACCTTTCATGTGAGATCAAAGGGAAGAGAAAAAACTATCATGCCATCGGCATCCCTCAGTCTATCTTCTCCCCCTGTAAGCTTCTCTCTCATTTGGTGAGAAAACACAATTTAAGGGGAAAGACATAGCAAAGGATTTTCAGTGTTTTGCAACCAACGCTGACCCTGACTGGAGGGTGTAGGTGTATCTCTGAGGCGTTGGTGATGCCAAGGGAAAATCAGAATTATCAAGGACAAAATATCTCCCTTACTCCCAGGCACATCTATTGTCTATCACAGGTGTGGAATCGTCATCCCTTACCTACATCCCAGCGAAAGAGACAAAGGGTATTGGGAGAAACGGTGAGGAGTCATATGACTGGGGCTTCCAGAGAAATGGTGTAAGATGCCAAATCCCTATCTTCTCAATATGTAACATTTGATATGTTTAAGTTAATCCAACAGGCATTTTCTCTGGGGCCACCCTGCTCCATAATTATCTTAGAATTCCCTTAGAGAGTCCTGCTCCCTATGAGCTCTAAAAGTCTTCTCTTTGTGTGTTCTCTGTGGAGCCCAGGGAAGTGAGGCATCCCCAGAAAAATGCACATGGAGTACCCACCTGAAGACCCATTCAAAACTGCCCAGCTCTTGTCCCCACGAGGAATAATATGGACGTCACTAAGGAAATGGATCACTGAGATAGATATATATACTCCCTCAATAAAGAGGACATTGGATTTTACGTAGATTTCCCTATCATTCAAAAGCATCTGGCCCATATTGGAGGAATCAACTCACACTGAGTTGCAAGATCATACAATCATATGGCCACAGTATTCCCACCCTCTGGTGAGAATATTCTAGAGAGTGGGAATATGGAAGCTCTCTGTTGCTTCCAAGAATGTATGATCCTTGCTAGGAATCCACCTTTGGAAAAATGCTCACTTTATTGTTTCTGCTCATCTTCCGCTCCCCCCTGCCTACCTTGGGCACCTTTGTCTGGATCAGCTCTTCTGGGGTGTTACCCAAGGGGGGAAGCAGCCGCTTCTTGCTGTTTCGGGTTTCTGAGAGCCACTGAGGAGGCAACTCAAAAGGCCCAAAGCCAAACTGCAGGGAATACTTATCAGAGAATGTTTCAGATTCCACAGGGGCTGCTGGTGCCACCTGGGATACAGAGTCCACCGTGCCCAGGGGTGGGGCAGAGGGTGCAAACTGTGGCCCTTGCTCTCCCTCCAGGCAGGTGCTAAATATCTCCTTGGCCTGGAAGTCAGCTGAGCCAATGTACTTGGCCTCGCTCTCTTCCTCATCCTCTGTAGGCTTAAAGATCTGCTGCTGCCCAATGTGGAACATCTCCAGGAGCTGGCTGCCCGAACGTATGCTGGGTTCCAGGCTGGCCTCAGCCAGGCCGCTCCCGGTACTGACCACATTACGGCGACTGTACCGGTGGTGTAGTTGCACCAGGGTCCCTATCAAGCACTTGCGTACAGATTTGTTCACAGTAAGAAAAAGAACAGGGTTTGCCAGCAGGGAGACTTTGGGCAGCCAAATGGCAGTGAGCAGCAAAAAGACAGAAGTGTCAGGGACATTGAGCACAGTCTGGTAGATGACCAGGGTGGCGTAGGGCACGCTACACAAGATGAAGACCATCACCATGGAGAGCAGGGTGGCGTGCAGCTCGGCCTCCCTCTGGGAGGCATAGGGGATGGAGATGGTGTTCTGTGGGGTCCGGAGCGCTGCTATGATGACCTTCTTCTTCTGGCTGGCACTCAGGGCCCTTCGGATCAGTATTAAGAAGAGGAACACCACCACCACAGGCACAATGATTGTGGTGATGTTATACACCAGAACGTACACCAGGTGGCCCAAGGAGTTGCTCCAGACTTCAGTGCAGGTGGATGTGGCATAGATGTCGGCCACATTGGTCACTGCAAACACAGGGACGCTGGCCACCACTGCATGGGCCCAGATGTACATCACCAATTCACGGGACTTGGCATCAGATATTTTCCTCTCCAGTGGATAGAGGACTGAATAGTACCTGCAAGATACACACACAAAATTAATTCCACAGAAGATACTTTTTAAATTAGGGGAACCTATATCACCAAAAGTAGGTGAGAGGGAAGAAAGGTCAAGTTCTTTTATTCACCCTAAGACAGAGACACACTGGGGGAATCCAGGAAGCCAGACCTTAAGTTTTGAGGACTTTGCAAGTACAATGAGAAGCATTGCTAGACCAAAAAATAAAAACCTTTCCAAAAGAGCAGAGGAAAGCCTTGTCTTTGTGAATCTCTACAGGAAAACAAGTAAATAATTCCAATTCATAGCTAGCTTTATAGTTTTTGCTACTAGGATGAAATCTCAAAGCGTGTCCTCAATATAAAAGATTTCTCCATCTGCTGTAAAGATATCTACTTTTCAATCTGAGGGTAAAGGGTAATTGGCAAAAATTTTACATGGGCTAAAGAAGCTTTAGGGCAATTTTCAAAGCTACCAACAGAAATAAGTTTGTCTACACACATATCTAAAGCAGATTTATGCCACAGTCTGGATATCATTAGCGATTAAAGCTGTTTAGGGCAGAAGAACCCAGTATGAAGAATGGACTCTGACAAGGTCCTTCCACAAAAATCAATTCGGCTGACAAAAGTTATGTCTTCTCAATAGCCATTGCTCCCATAATAATCACTCAGTAACCCTAAGGGCAATTAATAGCTCCAAAATGCCTGCACATTAGCTTTTTGTTAAAATCAGATGAGACACTGTTTTTCCTTCCAACCTTTAACTTGATCATTCTGTAACCACCTAAACAGAATTCCAAAAGCACACTGTTTCAATATCACCAGTGATTTGAGGGAACTGAGTAAGTCTTCAGACCCTAGAACCATATCTGTCGTAAAAGGGCTGCCACTAGCTGTCAGAGATATAGTCAGTTTCGTCACATTAGCTTGGCCATATCTGTGTAGTCAGTTAATGCTGGGGTTGACCTTACAACCTTAGTGACATCCATTCACTCATAGGGCAAGGTAAGCACACAAGCCTTCCAGTAACAAGTACGTGTGTGTGTGTGTATGTGTGTGTGTGTGTGTGTGTGTTTGTGTGTGTGTGCGCGCGCGATGGAGTCTCACTCTATTGCCCAGGCTCTAGTGCAGTGGCACAATGCAGGCTCACTGCAGCCTCTGCCTGGTTCAAGCCATCACCTCCGAATAGTTCAAGCCATTCTCCTACCTCGGCCCCCCAAGTAGCTGGGATTACAGGTAGGCACCACCAAGCCTGGCTAATTTTTGTATTTTTAGTAGAGACAGAGTTTCGCCATATTGGCCAGGCTCATCTCAAACTCCTGACCTCTCAGTTGATCCATCCGCCTTGACTTCCCAAAGTGCTTGGATTACAGACGTGAGCCACCATGCCCAGCCTCCTGTAACAGGTACTTCTGAGCATCACCTATGCACCAGGTCCTGTGCCAGGCACTGGGTTATAAGAATGAAAAGACACAGGGATGTCTCTAAATTCAACAGGGACAAAGATGCACACACTAACAATTACAAACAAGGAGATGACAGCTCTACTAGAGACAGGCACAAAAGAGGCACAGGCAGCACCTAAAGCCACCTGGGAAAATAGCAAGAGAAGGAGGCACTGTGGTGGAGTCTGGCAGGGGGACCAGCTGAAGGGGAACATTCCAGGCTGAGAGGTGCAAACTCAATAGTGACCATGGACAATCAGGAAAGGAGGGAGCATGGTAAGATGTATTCTAGATTTCTTTCTTGGAGGGGGAAAAAAGAGAAAGAAGTGCATAAGTGATGTATGCTGCCCAGGCTAGAGTGCAGTGGCATGATCTCAGCTCACTGCAACCTCTGCATCCTGGGTTTTAGCAATTCTCCTGCCTCAGCCTCCCGACTAGCTGGGACTACAGGTGCCCACCACCGCACCTGGCTAATTTTTGTATTTTTAGTAGAGACAGGGTTTTGCCATCTTGGCCAGGCTGGTCTTGAAGTCCTGACCTCGTGATCCACACACCTGGGCCTCCCAAAGTGCTGGGATTACAGGTGTGAGCCACCGTGCCCAGCCTGAATATAGTTTTCTAATCACAATACAGTAAATATGTGATGGCCCTACCCCTACACATGAATACATGCTTAGGAGTTCGCTGGCTCTGACTTCCATTTGCTCACAGACATGTAACAAACCCAGGCTTAAGTTAATTTCCAGTCCCGCTATGTGTTGGGGAACAGACTGCAACACAAGCACACAGGCTCACTATAAATCATTTCTTTAGTGTGTGCATCTCTAAAAGGTGACGCAAAAAGTGTAGATGACCTCCCAATTAACTTGCTGACTTGGTGCCATGAAACGAATAGCTTTGAAAGAAGTGAGAGAAAAGACTGACTTTTCTTCTTCAGGTGCACACGCTGATGTGTGCAAGTAATCTGTATTTGTGAATAACAGGAATTTACCAGCCCTGTTTTTCTACTATAAGGACGTGTTCTACTTTTTAAAATTATAGTAAAATTATAATAGTTTTTCTGCTGGAAAGAAAATGAGAATTTCTTACTGTTTTCATATCTCTTTGTCTAAGACCAAGGGCCCAGAAGTAGCCCACAGGGATTACTGCATTGCTTCCAAGTATAACAGCAAACTGTTCAGAATAATGTATTCCTTCTTATTGAATCTTATTTTTTAAAAAAAACCTTTAAGGATTCATAGCAGCATCACTAACAATATCCAAAAAGTAGAAACAACCTAAATATGCATCAACTGGTAAATGGAGAAACAAATTTGGTATACTCCTAAAATTGAATGAATATATTAATTGTCCATAAAAATGAATGAAGTACTGTTACATTCTGCAACATGAACTTTGAAAACATACTAAGTGAAAGAAGCCAGACACAAAAGAACACACATTGCATGACTCCACTTACAATGTAACGTCCAAAAAAAGAAACATAGAAAGAGAGAGTAGATTCATGGTTGCTTAGGTTTGGGGATGGGCATGAGGAGTGACTGCAAGTTTCTTTGTGAGGTAACAGAAATATTTTAAAATTATATTGTGACAATGACTGTACAACTCTATAAATATATTAAAATTCATTGACTTGTATACTTTAAATAAGTAAATTTTATCATATGTAAATTATATCTCAGTCCAGAATATCAAACTGAAGACTTAAGACTTTACCAGGGTAGGTACTCCTGGGGGCAGTCAGGACACTGAACCAAAATGGTCCAACATAAAACGCATTAGCGCACCCACCAGAAGTACTCTTGAGAAAGGACTCTGATTTCACTCTTGTCTTCCACTCCTTGGAAATAAAGCCTTGGGAATAAAGTGTAATAGCACTTTCCAGATATTCGAAAAGCAATGGACAAGACATGCAACATCACCATAAAGCAGGTGTGGCAAATTGGCATCTCAGGGCACACATTCATCTTTCTGAAGGGATTCAGATGACCACATAATACTTTTTGAAAAAAAACTAATTGCCAACATTTTAAAATAATGAAATTCTAGATTTTTTAAATTCCTCTTCTGAAGAAAGAAAAAAGTCCTGCCCACTGAGTTTAGATTCTTCCAAAGCAATTATTAGCAACTGCTGAGCGGCTGATCCCCATGAACAGGAACTCGGACACACGCTTCACGTGCCACAATTGCAACCTGGCCTGTTGTCGCTTGACTTCATCACCTGCCTTGTTTGGCTCCATGAATGGTGAGATTCCAGTCCCTTCTAAAGAACTGGAGTAGCTCCCAGAAGATCTGATGGTAAAATGATTGCAGACAATATATCAAAGGAAGAATGTGCCATCAGAAGGGAAGCCTGAGAAAGAGAGGCAAATATTGGTGCAGCCCATCCTATCACAGGCCATAAATAAATCACTTAATTCTTTCTACTGCTCTGGAATCTGAGGCTCAGAAAGTTTAAGCAACTTTACCCAAAGCCATCCAGCTAGAAAGCTGTGTAGGCAGCACTCAAAGCCAGGCTTATACCATCATCCATTCTCTTAATCACAACTGCTATGACTTCTCCCAGTATGCCGGGGGCTTTGTGTGACTCTGTGTCCCTCCATGCTGATGGCATCAGGTGGCTGAAGAAATCAAGGTCCTTGGCCTGAGAGGCTGAAATGACTCTATAGATGCGTTCTACAATCAATATCCTCACAAGTCATTAAGGTGTTATGTTTTGAATGGACAAAGAGCTCTAAATTTTCAAATTAATCTAAAATGTTCTTAAATTTTAACATAGGATATAGAGTCAGAATAGCCAGCACTTTCCCTTCAGTAATGTTTCCTCTTGTTAATCTTGAAATCAGAAGTACTCACGGACATAAAATACTTTTCAATTCTGGTTTGTTTCCTTAATTCAATTCTCTAGAAGGTATTATCTAACCTGTATTCCTGAAGCACTAGCTAAAAAGGAGAAAGGCAGGAATTCATTGATTACGAGATCTTTACAAACTTTGATAAAATTGATCAAATTATGTAGAATGGCAGTAACTAAGATGTAAGGTTCACTTCCAAATGAACATCCTTTCAAAGAGGATGGGAAGAGAAAACAATCACCCCTGTAATATGAAGCCTTGGAAATACATCCTCCAGAAGAATTCTGGTGTTACCTGGCCAGATCCAAATGGACCATCTAATAATTTGTTAAATAACCACTGAATCATTCCCTTGTTCTTTCAGAGATGTTCCATACTGCATCAAAAACCCCTAATTGCAGAGTTATCAATCAGATGAACAATATACTGCAAATTGCAACACAGATACCACCAATTGCAACCAAGCTGAAGTGACCCTATGATCTCACAGTTCTACCCAGCGTCCTCACCAAGAAACTCCCACCCCCAGGTCTTCTCTCAGTGGTTCTGTTTTCCGTGGCTGTTGCTAAATCAACCTGTCTTTTGTGAGGCATCTGTTTTGGACATTTATTCCCTTTCTGCTGATCACAAGCAGACTAAAAACCAGTATTTGGAATACTGACTACTCATCATTTGCTTCATGATGCCAATATTTTAATATAACTTTTAAAAAAACTTAACTCCTTATTACCTGATCTTACCTGTCCAAAGCAATAGCAGGGAAGCTGAGGATGGTCACAGAGCAGAACACTTTGTGCAAAAATTTGACGACCTTGCAGAAGAGCATGGAGTAGATCCACCAGCAACAGTGAGGACTGGTGCTGAGGGCGATGTCAAAGGGCACGCAGACCAGGCTGGCACAAATCCCTGAGCAGGCCAGGTTTTTAATGAACCTGTTGGTGACAGATTTGAACACGGTTGTGCGGCAAGTTGACCATAACACCATGAAGTTTCCTGCCCAGATATAAAAAATAAAATAAAATAATTTAAATAAAAATTTAAAAACTAAAAAAAGGAAAAAATACAGGTTAAAAAATGTAAAAAAACACATTTGAGAGTTGATTTCAAAATATTTAATTTAAATCCTATTTAAATTAAAATTTAACATAGTATATGATATATTACATAGTCAACTTATGTGAAATTATTAAATCACTTACATATTAATAAGTCTAGGAAAAATTTTAGTGGTGACTTTATTTAATTTTAGACAAAACAATATTATAATGATGGTTTAGTCTCATCAGGGTATAAACAATTTGCTAGTTATTACTTAATCCCAGGCAGTCTGCTCTTATCAAGTTTTCCAATGACCTCCATGTTGCAAACTCTGTGATAGAAATACAATGCCACCCACACAGGTCATCTTAAATTTTCTGATAGCCACATCTTAAAAAAGTAAAGAGAAGCAGGCAAGATTTTAATATTTTTTATTTAACCCAACAGATCCCAAATATTTCAATATATAATGATTACTTTAAAATCACTAATATTTTTTATTCTTGTTTCTATACTAAGTATCCTGTACTAAGCCTCTCCCTATATTAGTCTACCCATTCTGGTAGTTTTCCATCAAAATGCTGATGACTCCCAAATTCATGTCTCAAAGTAGGCTTCTCCTGTCAACTCCAGACTCCTTTTGCCAGATAAGCTTCTGATGCCCCTCTCAATCCCCACCATGTTCCTCAAGGGTTTACCTGATCTGATGCTACCTTCCCTCCTCTCAGATCTTCCCTACCCTGGCTTGCTGGGCTCCAGCCACTCCAACCTTAGTGTTTCCTGAAACATATCAGGGCTAATCCTGCCTCAATGCCTTTGTACACGTTTTTTATACTGCTAAGATGTTGTTCATATGTCTGATTACTTTAAATCCCAGTCTTAGTTTAAATGCTGCCTTGTCAAAAAAAGCCTTCTCTAACCATCGTTTTATTTTAAACACTAACTGCTCCTCCCTCCATTATGCTCCATTATCGTATCTTCTTCATTCTTATCATAATTATTCATTTGTTGACTTGTTATCTCTCCATTTCATGAAGAAAAACCGTGTCAATCTTGTTTATTGTTATAACTCCATGCCTGCTCAAGTATCTGGCAAAGAGTAGGCATGTGATAAATATTTGCTGAAGAAATGAATTTGTAAAATATTTAGACACACAGTAATCGAAAGTTCCTGGGTAAGAGAACTTTCATAGTATGTGTGTCATGTAAGGATATTCTAAGTTGGCAAGCAGTTCCCAAATCTCACCATACATCAGAATGGCTGTACAAGATATACTGAATCACAGAGCATAGGTATGGAACTGGGAAACTGCAACTGAAACAAGCACCTCAGTACAGTCGGCCCCCAGGATATTGATTCTTTTAAACTACTTTTAGACAGAGTCCACAGCCCCACGGCCAGACTCTCACAGGGCACCTGTCCTCGGGTGTGCTGGGCAGCCTGCCAAGGGGTTTTATTAGCATTTACATGCCCATGAATGAGTTGTTTTGAAGCTGTTATTTCTTTAAAACCCAAGACTGCTATAATCACATTTTATCACCGTCTATTTACATGACTCTAGGCAGCATCTAGAGCCTAATCTCTTCTGCTATTAAGAACCTGAGGTTTAAGAATCCTATATTCTCTAAACCTCTGATCTCGCTCTCTCTCTCCTCATTTAAAACTGACTCCTCATTTGGCTCTAAGAACCTGAATTGGGCCAATATGTCAGGAGAGAAGCACCCATACCCAATACCTGATTGGCTACGCATTGAAAAATGAATGTGTGTGTGTATGCGTGTGTGTGAGTGCCCACACAGCAACAAAGCAAGGTAACTATATTTGATTATTTAACCTCATTAGCACTTCAGATTCTCCTTAGTTTTACAAGGCATACTAAGTAAGGATAACTCAGTGTATATTTAAGTAACAAAATTTTCAATCTCTATATACTTTTTGCTTTAGAGGTCATGTTCCAAGTCACCTAATCTCCCCTAGAAATAATCTAAGCTCTGGAACCATTCCCCATCCCTATGCATTCCCATTATACTTTCTAACGTTGAATTGCATGACAATACTCAATGCCATAGCTGTGGACACAGCAATACCATTAGGACATACTCATGGCCCACACAACCAAAAGGAAATAAAAGGTAGAGGGTGAAGACATTGGTACAAGTCTGCCCTCCCTGGGACTGCTGTAACTCTGTCATTAGTCTGTAACTCCAACATTAGTCCATAACTAATGGATACTAGGCTTAAGACCTGAGTGATGAAATAATCTGTACAACAAACACCTATGACACGTTTACCTATGTAACAGACCTGCACATCCTGCATATGTACCCCTGAAATTAAAAGTTAAAAAAACACAAAATGCAAATTAAAATTTCTCTTTCTGTAATATACTTAATAGTCAAAGATAGTTGATGTGGAAGACAAAGACACAGGAATTAACCACGACTCTGACAGGCAGTGCTTAATTGATAATGAAGAACTCTCTCCAACTAAATTTTGCCTCTGCAAAATATTAGCCATGGTTGCCCTTTTTAACTGGTTTATAGGCTTTGCATCTTTGAAAGCAACAATTCGGGCCTGTTAAAGAGACTCGTAACTAAAATTAAAAACATATTCCAAAAGAGCACTGGGAAATAGTATGTGCATCTGAGAATCCTCCTGGGAAAACAGACACATTAGCCCTTTGAAAACTACCAACTTAACAACTGGATTGGCTACAGGTTGGTGTTGGAAAAAAAAAAAAGAAAACTACCAACTTCCCCAAAGACTTAAAGCAGTAAAAAAATCAATGGCCATGCTTTTACAGAAAGGTAACATACCACCCAAAACATTCCAGAAACTGGAACTGGAAAACAGCTAACGCAAACTGGAGGTGATATTAAATTACAAGGAAAAGCCTATGACAGACTGTGCCAAGAGGGAGGCCAAAGTGAATCAACAAGGGTCAGAAAGGCTACAAAGGACCTCTTCCACTCAGTGTACACCTTGTGATGAAAGAGGAAAGTTTAAACAAGTAACAGCAACCCCGTGATAGAAGAAACAAACAAGAGACGACTACTTTGTGGAGACTGGATTTTTAAATGCCTTCTTTGCTTCAATTTGCAGTCCAAAATGTAACCAAGAACAGAGTCTCTTGGGTTAAAAGAATTGCATAAAAGGCATATTAGGAAATGCTTTTAATTAACACACCGGGTAACAACAGGAATGACTTTTAACCTAACTATGCATTTATAAATAACGTCACTTTCTTACAGACAGCATATATTGGCTCTTGCTTTTTTTGGGGGGGGGGGAAGGAAGGCAGGAAGGGAGGGAAGGAGGATGGTAGGGAGGAAGGAAGGAAGGAAGGGAGGAAGAGGGGAGGGAGGGAGGGAGGAAGGGAAGGGAAGGAAGGAAATCAAGCAATGAGAGAGACATTGCTGACCTGGATCTAGAGGTTTACACATTGATTTCTTTTTTTTTTTTTTTTGAGAGAAGGAAAGAAAAAAAAAATAATAATAAGTAATGGAGAGGAAGAAAGAGGAAGAGAAAGAGGGAGAGTAAATGGAAATATTGCTTTATTCTGAAAAAAATTTGGTATTAATAATGGCCAATCAATGTTTCATTTAAACCTATGGGTAGGTGTGATGTGGTATTGACAAGAATGTATATTTTGTGTATTTGAAGTGGAGAGCTCTATAAATATTTATTAAGTTTACTTGTTCTGGATCTGAGTTCGAGTCCTTGATATCCTTATTAATTTTCTGTCTCATTGAATCTAAGTTTCTATGTATCTGGGTGTTAGGATCGTTAGCTCTTGTTGTTGCATTGATCCTTTTACCACTATATCTTTGTTGCTTTAAGATCTATTTTATCAGATATCAGAAATGCAACTCCTGCTTTTTATTTATTCATTTATTTTTGCTCTCCATTTGGTTGGTAAATCTTTCTCCATCCCTTTGTTTTGAGTCTTTGTGTATCCTTGCATGTGAAACAGGTCTGGATGTAACCTGCTGTTGGGTTTTGGCTGTGTCTTTTGATTGGGGGATTTAGTCGATTTAAATTTAGGGTTACTGCCATTTGATGTTGACTGGCTGTTTTATCCATTCATTGGTGTAAATTCTTCTTTATGTTGGTGCTCTTTACTTTTTGGGGTATTTTTAGAAAGGCTAATACTGGTTGTTTCTTTCTGTGTGTAATGCTTCTTTCAGAAGCTCTTGTAAAGCAGGCCTGGTGGTAATAAAATCTCTGAGTTCTTGCTTGTTCATAAAAGAGTTTATTTTTCCTTCAGTTGTGAAGCTCAGTTTGGCTGGATATGAAATTCTGGGCTGAAGGTTCTGTTCTTTGAGGATGCTGAATATTGGCCCCCACTCTCTTCTGGCTTGGAGAGTTTCTGCTGAGAGATCTGCTGTTAAGTCTGATAGGCTTGCCTTTGTGGGTAAACTGACCTTTCTCTCTGACTGCCCTTAGTATTTTCTCCTTCGTTTCAACCCTGGTGAATCTAACGATTATGTGCCTTGGGGTTGCTCTTCTTGAGGAATATCTCTGTGGTGTTCTCTGTATTACCTGGGGTTGAATGTTGACCTGCTTTGCTAGTTTAGGAAAATTTTCCTGAATAATATCCTGAAGGGTATTTTCCAGCTTGGATTCATTCTCTCCGTCGCATTCAGGTACATCTATCAAACGTAAATTTGGTCTTTTCACATAGTCCCACATTTCTTGAAGACTTTGCTCATTCCTTTTTATCCTTTTTTCTCTAATCTTTTCTTCACGTTTTATTTCATTAAGTTGGACTTTGACCTCTGATATCCTTTCTTCTACTTGAACAATTCGAGTGTTTAAACCTGTGCATACTTCTCGGAGTTCCTGTATTGTATTCTTCAGGTCCATTAATTCACTCATACTCCTCTCTAAGTTGTCTATTCTCAATAGGATTTCATGAAACCTTTTTTCAAAGTTCCTAGTTTCTTTACGTTGG